GGCCCACCGCCCGACGCCCCGCTCGCCGCCGCGCCGCAGGTTCATGCAGACCTTCATCTCCGGGGTCCAGTCCTCCATCAAGGGCGGGTTCATGTTCTCCCGCGGCGTGATGGCCCACCTTTGGGGGACTGGCCACAAGAACCTCGGCCCTCTCTCGCTCGACTCTGAGGACTTGTACATCGACGAGGCGCGAGCCCCCCCCGGGGCTGGCCGAGATTGACGGGTGGGCCACCCACGCGTCCCCCTTGACCAGCCCCAGCCCCCCCCATCGCCCCCTCCCCCCCCCCCTCTCCTTTCGCCCGTCGCCCGTACGACCGCGAGCCTCTGGCGCGAGACACCCTTCAGACAGCCCCCCGCCCGTGAGCCCCCCCCCCCCACCCCCGAACCGCAAGGCCTTTGGCTACTCGGTTGCCGCCCTCGGCTTCTACATCCAGTGGTCGTGGGGCTTCGGCCTCCCCTTCCCGCTCAGCTTGGTGATGCTCCCCTTCGACATCCTGGAGTGGTGCGCGCAGCCCCGCACCCACCACCCCTCTCCCACCACACCACCCTCCCTCTCCTTTCCCTCGATCCTTCCCCGCCTCGACACTGCCGGCCCGCCGCGCGCAGGTACATCCGCTGGTCCATCTCTTCGGGCGGCGAGTGAGGGCGGCCCCACCCCCTCATCCCCCCCCTCCACCTTCCTGCTCTACCTTCCCTGGCCTCTGCCGACATCCGCTTGCGGTGGGGGCGGCGCAGAACTGAGAGTCTTGTATTGATGCGAGGTGTGTCTCTTGCGCTGGCCCGGCCGGTATCTCACCTCTCCTCTTGTGCGCTTCCTCCTACCTACCTCCGTGACACCTGACACCCGAGACGGCGGCACTACATGTAGACGCGAGTCGGCCGTCGTGACACACTTTTTCTTTCTACAAAGAAGTCAGAAGTCTGTGAAGGACAGAGAACCGTTCAAGCTTTTAGCTTTTACACAAGTCACAACCGGGGACGGGTCTCGGGTGTCCGGGCGGGGGAGAATTTCGGAGAAAACCCCGCCCCGGTAACGCCGGCACCGGCCACCCCTAACATCCTGTCCGGGAGAGCTGAGTAACAGTAAGACCCCGCGTCCCTGCGCCCGGCGCACCGGCACCGGGCCACCCTCGGGCCTCCACTTTGTGTGTCGTCTTTGAGACGGCGTTTGTGGTTTGAGCCTTTTTGACAGCGAGACAGGTCGTCTTGCTTGGAGAGGAGTTCATCCTGTTCATGGTTAATGTGTTCACACTCTCGTGCCCGCTGCTTGCGCCGTGATCCCGTCGCGTCTAAGTTTTCGTCCCACCGGCGTGCGTGCGACTTTGTACAGAGAGGCGCGAGAGAGGCCCACGGGGCCAGCACCTCACACACACATACAAGAGCACGGGCGTGTTGCGCCGCACGACGGCCGCCTCTCGGTCTCGCGCAACGCCAGTGGGTGTACCGTCAAACGCGTATCTCTCCTCTGGTCTCTCTCGCTCTCCCTCCGGCGGAGCCGCGCGCCAGTGCGCGGGACGTAGTTGGCCGCCCTCTCCCCCAGCCAGCAGCTCACAGCTCAGCAAACACCTCCTTGGCCATCGCAATCGTGTGCTCGATGTCGGCCTCGGAGTGGGAGAGCGACATGAAGCCCGCCTCGTACTGCGACGGCGCGAGGTACACACCGCGCTCGAGCATGCCGCGGTGCCACTTTGCGAACTTGGCGGTGTCGCTCTTCGCCGCGTCCGCAAAGCACTTGACGGGCCCGTCGGTGAAAAAGAAGCCGAACATGCCGGAGATGTGGCCTCCGCACACGGCGTGGCCGGCAGCCTTACCGGCGTCGAGGATGCCTGGTGGCGCCGGGGGCGGGAGAGGGGTGAGGGCGGGGCGGAGGGGGCGGAGGGAGGGGCTTGGAGGGCGGGTGCGACGACGGATGAGACGACTGCAACGAGCAGGCTGCGGAGATGGGTGAGCTGGGGGGGGGTGAGCGGGGCAGCGGCGCGTGCTGCTGCACCGTTGATGAGCTTGTCCGTCATGCGGTCGAGCTGCTCGTACGTGCCGGGCTGCTTGAGGATCTTCATCGTCTCGATGCCCGCAGTCATCGCCAGCGGGTTGCCCGAGAGGGTGCCGGCCTGGTACATCGGCCCCGCCGGCGCAACCATCTCCATGATCTCCTTCTTGCCCGCGTACGCGCCGACAGGCAAGCCCCCGCCAATCACCTGGGGCGGGGCGAGCGGGCGGTGAGGCGCGGGCGACGGGCGTGCGTGGGAGGCGAGTCGGAGGGTGTCGGAGGGTGGGTCTGAGGGCGTGTCGGCAGTCACCTTGCCGAAGGTGGAGAGGTCCGGGGTGATGCCCCAGTGCTGCTGCGCGCCGCCGTACGAGATGCGGAAGCCCGTCATCACCTCGTCAAACACGAGCACCGCCCCGTTGTCGTCGCACACCTGCCGCAGCTCCGTCAGGAAGGCCTGGTCCGGAACGATGAAGCCAGAGTTGCCAACGACGCCCTCGAGAATCACACCGGCGACCTCCCCCTTGTTGGCCTCGAAGAGGGCCTTGACCGACTCGATGTCGTTGTACGTCGCCACCAGCGTCGACGCCGACGCGCCCTGCGTCACGCCCGGCGAGTCGGGCAGCCCGAGCGTCGCGACGCCCGAGCCGGCGGCGACGAGGAACGAGTCTGCATGCCCGTGGTAGCACCCGTCAAACTTGATCACCTTCTCGCGCTTGGTGTAGGCGCGCATGAGGCGGAGGACGCCCATGCAGGCCTCCGTCCCCGAGTTGGTGAAGCGCACCATCTCGACCGACGGCACCGCGTCGATGACCATCTTTGCAAGCTCATTCTCGAGCGCGCACGGCGCGCCGAACGACGTGCCCTTGTCCATCGTCGCCTTGACGGCGTCGAGGACGCGGTCGTCGGCGTGACCGACGATGGCGGGGCCCCACGTTCCGACGTAGTCGACGTACTTGTTGCCGTCCACGTCCCACGCGTACGCACCCTTGACCCGGTCAAACACGACCGGGTCGCCGCCGACCGACTTGAAGGCGCGCACGGGCGAGGAGACGCCGCCCGGCATGATCTCGCGCGCCTCGTCCATAAGCCGGTCAGACTCGGTCGTCTTGAACGGCGCGCGCACCTGGCGGGGCGAGCGGGGGCATTGGCACAGCAGCAGCTGCAACTCGCACCTCTGCGCCCGCAGCGCGTCTGACGCAGAGAGCCGCGGCGCGGCGGAGCAGCTAGCGGCCTCGAGCTACAGCGCGCACGTCGACCGCCATGCGGACATCGCCAGCGCGCGTCGGGGTGGCGCCCAGGTTCAGGCCGAGCGAGAAGGAGGCGAGGCTCAGCATTCGAAGTGTGTAGCGAGCGGAGATCGTGTGTGGGTCGCCGCCGTCGCTTCATCTGCCGCAAAGAAAAACGCCGGTGTCAGGGCGGCTCGCGCAGCGCGCGCGATCGCGCAAGCGGCGCGCGCGAGCGAGCGAGCACACACACACACACACACACACACACACACACACACACACACACACACACACACACACACACACACACACACACACACACACACACACACACACACACACACACACACACACACACACACACACACACACACACACACACACACACACACACACACACACACACACACACACACACGCACACACACACACACACACACACACACACACACACGCACGCACGCACGCACGCACGCACGCACGCACGCACGCACGCACGCACGCACGCACGCACGCACACGTCCCAACTCCCCAGAAATCCCGAGGAGCCGTGCACTGCCTACTAGATAAGTCTGTGTGCTGTGTGGTGCACGCCCTCCGAGCGGGGCGGGGTCTGCCCGTCGGCGCGTCGGGTTGCTGCCCTAATCCCACCAGCGGTCTCGGGCACCGTACCCTACTACTCAAAGTACAATGTACTACCACAAAGCACCACTAGCGATTTCGCGCGGAGGGCGTAGTGAAGCGCTTGGGCGCTCACTGTGTGTTATTCGGGTGGGGATCCATCAGTGGTAACCGGCTTTAGTCACAGGTCCAAGCTCAGACGTCACACCAACACCACAAACACGCTCACTTCGCCGCTGCTGTAGAGGGCCCCCGGCCAGAGGCATTGCCGCCTCCGCTGGCGGGGTCCCGTGCGTCCGCCCGCGCCCGCGCCCGCCCACGCCGCGCCCACGGGCTCCGGATGCGCCGCCATCTTTCTCCTTCTTCTCGATGGCAGTCCGCGTGTGCTTGTCGACGGGTCGGCGGCGTGGTCGAGGGGAAGGTCGCCGGCGGCCGCAACTCCGCCGCCGACCCGTCGCTCCGCCGGCTCTGATCGAGTATCGGGCATTGAGTGCGGCGGCGCAAAAAGCGGGTCTGACGCATCCATCGCCACGAGCCTCGCGGCGGCGGTCGTGGCACACCTGGCGGCGGCTCTCGGGGCCGTCTCTACGGCGCTCGACGCCGTGTGAGGTCGCCGGCGGCGCAACTCTGCCGCCGTCGCTCCGCCGGCTCAACCGAGTATCGGGCGTTGAGGGCGGCGGCGCAAAGTGGGTCTGGTGCGCCACACGGCCACAACCCTTGCCACCGCCCTTGCCGCCGCCCTTGCCACCCTTTGCCGCCTTGCCTCCGCCGCGGGCGGCGGTGGGAGCGGCCTGCTGGGCTAGCATGTTGTCCTTGCTGGGGACGGGCACGTGGAACGCACGTTACATGTTTGAACGGCCTCCAGAATTCAAACAAAAAATAGCGAAGGCCCTCTCGCAACCCCTCCGACCCCCCGGGACTCGTGGGCGTCGAAGAGGCGCTCTCGGGGGGGCGGCCGTTCTGAGTTCATACTACCTCGAAGCACTCTGTACTGCGTCAAAGCACCGGCCCTGAGTCCGCCAGGGGTGGTCTGCTCTATTTATTTATAGAAGAGACTGACTTACAAGATCCTGCTCGTGCAGGTGGGGACCCTATCCTTCTCCCACCCCTTGTTTGGTGTGTCCGTTTTATTTATTTATTTATTTAGAAGAGACTGAGAGCGAAGAGAGACGATCTATCCCTCGAGCGTAGATCGTCTCTCTTCGGCGCGCTCGAGCACGTTTGGCACCAAGAGGCTTTGATTCTTACAGACCCTCACCCGCCAAGGCAGGTGCGCACTCTGCTAGTACTTGTGTGCTCACACCACTACACTGTGGAGGGTGCCCGAGCATGATGTATGTGCGCGTCTGTGCGTGTGTGGGACAGACGTTGTTGTCCTATGCGCGGGGCTTCCCGCGGGGACCGAAGTCGCAACAGCAGCAGCAGCAGCAGAGACTGAGAGCGACGCGACAGAGGAAGAAGCGACAAGGGTGACCACGACGAGAAGGGGGCGACCGCGAGGTGGCATGAAGGTTGCAGCGAGAATCGGCGAGAGACTGCGAAGAGAGATAGGAAGAGGCGGACGGCCAAGGGTGGGCGACGGCTAGCGCATCACACCCCTCTCCTTAAAATCCCTGTGTGGTGGCGGCGTGCCGTCCTCCCATCCCTTCCTTGGGTTGTCTGTTTTCTTTCTTTCTTTCTTTAGAAGAGACTGAGATGAGACCGCCAGTGGAGTTGGGAGTCCACCGTGCACCGCGCTGCGAGCCTGTCGTGTCCCTTGTCAGGACTCAGGAGCAGGAGAGCCCCACCTGTGCCCCTGATCGTCCTTCCAAAATCCTGCTCGTGCAGGTGGGGGGGACCCTGTCTGTCGGTTGTCTGTCCTCCTCCCCCAAGAGACCCTCTGCCCTCTGTGTCCCATCCAAAATCCCGACCTACTTGATGCTTGAAAACTAGTATGTAGGTGATCTGTGATCTGTAAGGGTCCGCCCGCAGGCGCATTTTGTATACCGAGGCGGTGCCCGGTGCCGAGCGCAGGCAGAGCCCACAGGTCGGACCTTAAGACAGCATTGTAGATCCCTGGGCGAGGGTGGTGGTGTCCCCGTCGGGAGGGGGCTATCGCAGTGGTGGTCTACCGTCACCCCGCCAGCGGCCCGGCGGGTTCGACTTAGGCCTCCTCTGTTATTGCAACAGCCCCGAGTAGGTACTTTTTCAGTGTATGTAGCTCTTATACGTACGTACCCGAAGGTGAAACTGCTGACAGGCAGGGTTTGCGATGAGGAGCGATCCGAACGTGGTATTCGGGTGATCAGATCACTACCGCCGAAACGCAAGAGCACTGCGACGGATCGGGCTCATGCTAGCACACTTTTATCTTTTTAGCTTAATGGGAGAAAGAATTCTTAAGATACAAGCCTCTCTCACAGCACACTGGCACGACAAGGGCGCAGACTGGCGCGGACTGGCACACACACAGGCTCACCACCGGAGCCAGAAAGGGGAGACAGACGAGTCTTCCTTCTCTCTCTCTATCTAGATACAGTTGTTTCAACTGACCTTCGCGCTTCGGGTAGGTAACCTCCCTTTCTCGCGTCCCCCCTTTTCTCTTCTTGGTCGATGTTGCTTCGAGGTGCTCGCGTATTGCAAACTTCCGAGGCGTTGCAGCGTTTTACCCAATGCGAACTCGAGTAGTCGATGGGCAAGCGCTGTCGCGGTGCGTGCCCTGGTTGCATGCACGGCAACAGATGTACATGCAGCTCCCCGAGTGCGATGTCTCCATGCGCGAGGCATTCGAGTCGGGGTACGGCGGCTGTCTGACCTACCTTAAGCCCCTGACAAACCACGACTACTGTCACATCGACAGAGACACCATCAGCGACCTGCCGGTGGGCGCGGTCTGCTTTGAGTGCGAGCGGTGCACAGACCTCATTCACAATGGGCCGCCACCGCCGCCGCTCCCTCCACGCCCGCCGCTGCCGCCCGCCTTGCCGGGCGATCTCTGTGCGTGCGTGTCGCCGTTGTCACCCGCGACAGTCCTCAGCGGCGGCGTTGCCGTCAGCCAGAACCACCTTGGATGTGCTGACCACCTCTTCGAGGGTGGGCCGTGGTGCTATGTCATCCAGCCACTCCACTGTCAGGATGTGAACCCATCGACCACGTACCCTGGCGCTGCGTGGCGGCTCTGTACCCTCCCCCCGCCGCCATCACCGCCGCCGCTGTTGCCCCCACAGCCGCTGTCGCCGCCGCCGCCGCCGCCATCGCCGCCGCCGCCGCCGCCTCCGAACTTGCCAGAGGACTGCACGTGCGCCCCGGAGGCAGTACCGTTGAGTGGTGGCGCACTGGTCGAATATGGCGGCTGCGCCGATCATCTCAACGAGGGCGAATCCTGGTGCTATGTGAGCGTTCCACTCCGTTGCCTGACCGCGGTTCGCTCGCATCAGTTTGTTGGCGCGGCCTGGCGGTTGTGTGGCAGGTGCAGATCTTATTGCGCCGCGAGGACGCACCCGTGGGAGATGCGATGCACCTGGAATAGCTGCAGCGGCTGCTCGGAGTGCTCACTATCGCCACCGCCAGCACCGTCTAAGCCGCCGTTTCCGTCGCCGCCCGCGCCAGCCTCGCCCCTGCCGCTGTCGCCATCGATTGCGAGCGGGAGCCAAAGCAATGTCTCAACGAGCAGCAGCACCGTGCTCATTCCCATGAGCGCAGACTTGGATGAGGATTACGTCGGAGATTACGCCTCGGGCGAGTCTGAATTCGGCTCTGGCGATCCACCGGCAGCACCGCCATCAGCAGACTCTAGCTCTGAGTATAGCTCTGGCGACCCACCGGCAATTCCGCCGCCAGCAGACCCTGGCTCGGGGGAGGTTGATGAGCTGGTGGGAGATATTGTCCAGGAGTTCGGGAGCGGACTGCCACTGGCGTTGGGGGGCGGACTGCCACTGCCACCACCGCTACCACCACACCCTCCTCCGCCTCCCTCTCCTGGACCCCCAGAACCCTCACCACCGCCTCCACCGCCTCTGATTTTAGAGCCGAGCCCGCCGCCTCCACCGCTGCCATCTGAGCCCGAGCCCTCACCGCCGCCTCCACCGTCACCCGAGGTGCCCCCGCCGTTCCCGCCGCCGCCACCCGCGCCGTATCCGCCCGAGCCCTCGCCGCCGCCGCCACCACAGCTGCAGCCCCCGCCGCCGCCGAACCCAAGCGCCCCACCGCCCCCACTACCATACCCCCCAGAACCATCACCGCCGCCACCCCCCTCTGCACGCCGCCGCACCTTGCTCGGCCGGTGGGTGCGTTCGCCCTTGGATTGAGTGGTAAAGGGGGCTGGGGTAGAAGGTGGGTGGTGGCTAGCCTAGGTGGGGAAGTGTGGCTGTGGGGCTCCCAGGAAGTGTGCTCACTCTGCCACCAACGCTGGAGAGATACGTGTGTCTAGGTATGGTAAAAAAAAGAGGCTCTAGTGGACATAAACAAGTAATAGTTGCACGTGTGTTGACAGTCGAGTGTCTCTAGAGAGGGCATCACGTCTGACCCGCCCCGCCCATCTCAGTTTCGGCCGTTAGCCGGCGCCCAAGTGCTGCCGCCCGTCTTCTTGAATGGGGGGAGCCACGTGCGTCGCATCACCTCGGTAGGCGTCGGCGACGGTGCGCGTGTGTGCGGCTGGCTGAGGGGCGGCTGCGCCTGCGCGTCGTTGATCCAGTCGAGGGACGGCACAGACACGACGGCGGCGTGGCGTTCCCACTCCTCGGGCGTCGGCACTCGCGACGGCATCGCGTGCTCCATCGCGGCGGCGATGTCAGCGACGCTCGCCGCGAGCATGTTGCGCGAGGAGGAGGGGTTGAAGCTGATCGAGATGATCTCGGGCACGGTGGAGCCGAGCAGGCGCGCCGCGTAAGTCAGGTCGACGTTGGCGCGAGTCAAGACGGACGAGGCGCCCGGGTTTGCTTGCTCGAGGGTCCGCTCGAGGTGCGTGAGGAAGGCCGGGGCGAGATTAAAGTTGTACATGTCGATGCCCGCGACCGAGAGGGAGACGCCCACGATGGGGACGCGCGCCTCGATCGCCGTGACCATCTCGAGGATGCAGTACGGCCGGAAGAGCACGCTCTTGGACTGGACCAGGATCAGGCAGTCGGACTCGCGCACGGCCTGCTGCAGCAGCCGCAGGTCGCGCAAGTCGTCGCTGTCGAGGAAGCACTTGCGCCCGAGTAGCGCCTCGAGCTCCGTCTGCAGAAAGCGCGCCTCCATCGCCGCCTCGCCCTTGTAGTGCGAGATGAAGGCCGCCCACCGCTTGCGCGGCGCCCCGGTGCCGCCCGCGCTCGTGCCGCCGCCGCCGGTGCTCGAGGCAGCCGTCTCTCGCCCGCCGGGCCGCACGAGCAACCGCGAGCGCGTGCCAACTGACGAGGCGCTGACCCCGCTCACCGAAGGCGCGGCACCCCCTCCGCCGCCGCCGCCGCCCGGCAGCTGGGCGGCCGCGAGGCCCTGGGCGTTGGCGAGGCTGACGCTGCCGTAGAGCTCCGTGCGAAAGCTGGGCCGGCCTCTGGACGGAGAGCCGCGATCCCCCGCGGCGGATGCGCCCAGCTCAAGGTCGTCCGCCTCGGCGGCCGCCTCGCCCAGGGCCGCCACCGCCGCCATCGCCCGGTGCGCCGCGGCGACGTTTCCAGCCGAGACGGTCGAGCTGTCGTCGGAGAGGCGCGCGGCGTTGAGCGATCCGTTGGCCACCTCACCCTGCGAACCCATCTCGTCGTCGCCGTCGGCGAGGTCCAGTTCCTCTCCGCTCCGCCGCGCGCGTGCGTCGTGGTTGCCGCGGTGTGGGGGGCTCCCGATGCCAGGCAGCCAGCCGAGCCACGAGGTGGCGGAGGTGGATGGCGCGGCCGAGGAGGAGGCCGCCGCGGCGGGCGGCGGCGGCGGCGGCGGCGCACGCGGATCCTCGGCATGTCCGTTGTCCGGATCCGTCGGCGTGTCGCTCTCGTCGCGCGACGGGCTGGGCTCGGACGATGCGGCCGTTGCGACCCGGTCGGAAGCCAGCGCCCGCTCGAGCGACGCCGAGATCGAGGGCGACATGTCGACGATGATGGAGTGGTTGGATGCCGCCCGCGTCGCCACGCCGCCGAGCGATGTGCGCTCCATGTACTCGATCCACGAGCCCGACGCCTCGATCCCGCTCTGAGAGGCGCGCGACGACTTGCGGACGCGCTGCGCGCGCCCGACAGCCTCGCGGCAGTAGAAGCAGCACAGCGTGAGCCCGAGGCAGACGAGGAAGGCGGCGGTCGAGCCCCCGATGATGGTGCCCGTGGCGTGCCGGTGGTGTCCGAGCAGAGGGGGTGATGGCCACGGCGGTGGCGGCGATGTCACCCGGGGCGTGGCCAGCCCTCCGGTCGCTCCCAGCGTCGGCGGCGGCGCGGACTGCGGCGGCGACGCCGGCGGGGACGACATGCGAGATGGCGTTGCTGGAGGCGGCGAGGGTGGAGGCAGCGCAGGCGACGGCGGCACGGGCAAAGGCGGCGCCGACGACGGCGGCAAGGGTGAAGGCAGGAACGGCGGCGGTGGCAGGGGTGGCGGCGGAGGTGGGGGCGGGCCCGGCGGAGATGGCGGAGGGTGCAAGGGTGGCGGCGGGGAAGCCGGCGGGGATGGCGCTGGAGACGGAGGCGGGGAGGGTGCCGGGGAGGGAGGAGGGGACGGAGGCGGGGACGGAGGAGGCGGGGGAGGGGGTGGGCGGCTCGGGTAGCCAGCTGGGACGGAAGGCAGCGGTGGCGGGGACGGCAATGGCGAGGGTGGCGGCGACGGTGGCGGCGGCGGCGGCGGCGGCGAGGGCGGCGGCGGCGATGGCGGCGTCGAGGGTGGCGGCGGCGACGGCGGCAGCGGGCTCGGTGGCGGAGAGGGCGACGGTGATGAGGGCGGCGGCGGGGCAGGAGGCGACGGTGACGGAGGCGGCGGAGGGGGCGGCGGCGAGGGAGGCGGCGGCAAGGGAGGCGGCGAGGGCGAGGGCGAGGGCGGCGGCGGGGACGGAGGCGGAGGTGGCGACGGAGGCGGCGGCGAGGGCGGCGGCGGAGGCGGCGGCGGCGGCGGCGGCGAGGGCGGCAGCGGTGACGGCGGCGGTGGCGGCGAGGGTGGCGGCGGCGTGGGAGGTGGAGGGGGTGGGGGAGACAAGGCCGAGCGTTTGCCGCAATCCTCACAGTCGCTTCCATAGGCACACAGCGCCTCTTCGCCCTCGGCCGTGGCTTGATCGTCGCAGCTGCCGTCGTTTGCGTAGAAGCACGTGTTTGAGCACACCGTGCCCGGCGGCGGCGAGGGCGGGGACGGCGAGGGTGGGGGCGGGGCGCTCCACGCAGGCTTTGCGCCTTCGCGGCGCCCGCAGTCCCGGCAGTCGGAGCCCCACGCGCACAGGGCGTCGGTCGAGCCGGCAGCCCCGTCGTTGCAAACTCCGTTGTTGGCGTAGAAGCAATCGTCGTTGCAACTCTCGCCAACCTGCGGCTTCCAGTCGTGATTCTGCTCGCCCGGCGGGGCCGGAGGCGCTGCACGGACAGCAGCGCCCCAAATCTCGAGGCTGCTCGGCGCGGGAGCGAAGCCAGTCCACTCCACGGTCTCAAGCAGTCGCCGGAGCGACGGCGTAGGCGTGGTGGCGGCAGCGAAAGGCGTGGGGGCGGACACGCCGGAGCTCCTCATGTTGTATATCATCTTCAGTCGTCCTTGCCTTTGGTGGCAGTGCCACCAAGGAGTGGTCGGGCGGTAGTCTCCGGAGGCTCCCAAAGAAAGAATAACCACGTGCGTTGTGAGAGCTGGGTGCGCCACCCAAGAGCCTAGGCAGGTGCGGATCGGCAAGAGCGCAATCGATCTTTTTGCCCTCTATCACCTTGGGTTGTAAGAACTTGAAACACACCACGCAGGGGCACAGCAAGCACGGATAGCCGTTGAGGAGAAAGGGCGTAAGGTGTATGCGCAGCCACGGCCGTGCCGCGGTGGGCGCGCCACCTCCAGCGAGCGCGGCGGGATCGGAATTGCGGCCGGAGGGAAGGGCGAGCCGCCGCCGCCGCCGCCATATACCATCAGCGACGACGACCGCGGCTCGCCCCAAACGCCAGGCGCTGGATCGGCAGTAGGGCTTGGGCGGCGCAGCGTAGGCCTCGAGCCATACGAGTCGCCGACAACCCCCCTTCATCGACGTGATGGCCGCACCCGCTGCCGGCCGATGCAAGCTGCCGCCTCCACCGCACCAGCGATACTGGCCGCGGCTCGCCGCCACGCGCCGGCTCGGAAGAGGGGCTATCGGCGGCGCAGCAGAGCGGCATGCGTCGTCATTCGAGCAGCACCAGGTCCCCTCTTCGACGTGACGGCCGCTCCCGGAGCCGGCCGGTGCGCGCCCGACCCACGCCCCCCCTCGCACCCCCCCGACCCCCCTGCGCGGCGCCCCCTTCCACTGCGCGCCGGCTCGAGCGCCTATTGCCAAATCGCGACTTTCGAGCGCAGTGCACGCGCCCCACACGTCACGCGAGCGCAGGAGAGTTTGCGGCAGAGCAGTACCGTGTACTAGCCGGAGGCATCGCGCCGAAAACCCCGCGCATTCCGCCCCAACAGAGGCTGAAGGAGGCAGATGTCGTTTAGCGACAATCGTTACGAAATGTTGCGTTACCGGGAGCTCTCCAAGCTGTCTTGGGTTTTAGGTATATTGTTGGCAAATCAAGACACAGAGCTCACACAGAATCACAGCGGGAGGAAAGCGGCGAGTCGCAATTCCTGGGGTCCTTGTGGCGGGCCACCCTGTCCAGAGAGGCATGGATGCCAATCTGGGGTCTCTCGACCGAGTCTATGAAGCCCTGGCCGCCTCCCGGTGGTGGCAGAGGTTATAGAACCAAGCGACGGAGATGGTGCGGGGGTACGGGTGTTCCAGGGGGTCACGACACGCACCGACCCTTCACGAACCGAAAGGCTGCACCCGGGGAAGGCACAGTAATCCGGGCACGTGTTGGGCGCCCCATTCCGTTGCTGTCTTGGGTGGTAAAGAAAAAGAATGGCTAGAACGGCACGCCGCCACCACACAGGGATTTTAAGGAGAGGGGTGTGGTGCGCTAGCCGTCGCCCACCCTTGGGCGTCCGCCTCTTGAGCACTTGAGCACTGGATAGGGCCGATTCCGCATGGTACGGGACCCCTCGATCGTCTCGCCCTCCCTCACTGGTGTTCATTGGGGGGGGTCATAACAAACACGGTATGCAGGATCGAGGTGCACGCTGCCAAAGCAGTGTCGTCCCCCCTCTCCCCGACGGCGATGGCGGTGTGACCGATCGAGCTACAAGAGGAGCTTGTTCAGCAGGATCCGGGTTGGACTGGCGCACTACCTCACTGGGCCTGAGACCGCCGTACGCTTCCCGTCACCGTCTCGGGCGGGTTTGTGTGGGATCGAACCACTCCGGGATGGGCAAGCCCATCGTTCTGAGAGTTGTGCCTTTCCTTCACCTGCAACTGGTTAATTGTCAGAATTCCTGTTGTGCAAGAGGGGAGGGGGCTGTCCGCCTCTTCCTATCTCTCTTCGCAGTCTCTCGCCGATTCTCGCTGCAACCTTCGTGCCACCTCGCGGTGCCCCCTTCTCGTCGTGCTCTCCCTTGTCGCTTCTTCCTCTGTCGCGTCGCTCTCCTCTGCCTCGTTCTGCGCCGCCGCCGCCGTCATGAGAGAGCCACCATGTGATCCGTATGATGATTCCTGACAACCGCCTCAGTCAACTTTCGTCACAGTTCCCGCTCTGAGAGGAGCTGCGGGTCAGCTCGACAGCTGGAGCTGTGTCGCCGACGTGCGGCGGCCTGCCTCCGGAGGTGCCTCTGAGGTGGACATTTTTTGGTCACTACAATCGAGAGAGAGAGTTCTCCCTGTAAGCTAGGGATCCCTAAAAGTACAATCGCTGTGAACCCAGCCACGTACACAGGCGGGGTAAGATCCGTTGGCGGAAGATCGCCAGGAGATATCGCGGAGCTGCGGGACGTCTCGAAGTAAAAGTTATCGCAATACCAAATCGCATGAAACAACACACACTTTGTTTGTTCTTCTTTGATGGAGAGGACGGGAGAGGGCTACGGCCTACGGAGTACGGTCTAACGTCTACGTATCCATTTATGGCATAAATTATGATAATAATTTAAAAAAAATATGGTGATAAAAGAGAAGTGCAGCGCCAATCAATACACAGAACAAAACATGTCTCTCGCAAACTCATGGGCGTATCTGTCTGTGTGCGTCGTCTGTTGATGGAGTGTATGTGAGATTTCGCATGGGTACACGCATAGACATGCGCTTTGTTCAGCCATCCGTCGCCCCGCACCCCGCGGAAGAGCGGGCCAAGCGGCTATACGAGGGGCGCGGTCGTCGCGCCGCGCCTCCCTCGTCTCCTGCGGCCCCGCACGGCCAGCCCCAGCGCGGCCGCAGCTGCCGCCGCCGCCGCGCCGCCTGCCGCGGCCGCGCCGCCGCCGTACCCTGTCGCGGCGCGCCACCAGCGCCACCCCGCCGGCGTTGCGCTCGCGGCCGGCGCACCGCGCAAGTAGGCTCTCCCCGCCGCTCGCTGCTGTGCGGTGGGCAGCTCCTGCAGCTGCAGCAGCGCGGTGCTCTTCTCTAGCGCGGCGGCGGCGCCCGCCAGCACGGCGGTGTGGCTCTCGCCGTTGCCGGGCAGCATCCCGCAGCGGGGCCGCTCGTCCCACGTGCAGCGGACGAAGCGCTCGGCGTAGCAGTCGCACGAGCCGGTCGTGTCCTCGGTCACGTCCTCCGACTGCCGGAAGTGGGGCTCCCCTCCAAAGTGCGTCAGCGTGGGCGCCTGCGGGCACGGCTTGCGCGTCTCGCACTGCAGCGGGTTGCCCTGCAGCAGCTTCCACGAGAGGATGATCGGCATGAAGGAGCAGTCGGGCCACCGCTGCGCGCACTGGTTGACCACGCCGATCGCAGGGCAGTGCTCGCGGCCGAGCGGCTCGAGCGCCGCGCACTCGCCCTCCGAGCGCGCGTCGAAGCACTGCCCGAACCCCAAGTCGATCGGGCAGGCGCAGTAGCAAGAGCCGAGCGGTCCGCCCGAGCCGCCCAAGGTGAAGAGCCAGTCCGCTGCGCCGGCGACTCCGTCCGCCGCCTTGGAGGCGGCGAGGCCAACCTCGGCGACGACGTCGTCGGCCGCGGGCTCGTCGGCGCGCTGGCCCGGCGGCGGCGGCCCCGGCCAGGCGGGCGAGAGGGTGGGCAGGATTGCAGGCTTGCCGTGCTGGTCGTACGTCGTGACCGCGGACTCGCGGACCACCTCCGCCGACGTGTCGACCATCTGCACAAACTCGGAGATCTTTCGCGGCAGCAGCTCCCACGCGGCCAGCCTCGCGCGGAACCAGAGGTCGTTCTCCTGCTCCTGCCGAAGCGACTCCCACGCGACGAGGGCGGCCGCCTCGCGTCCGTACGTCGGCCGCGGCAGGGAGTAGTTGCCGAGCAGGCCGAGCCGCGCGAGCAGCGGGCTCAGCTTGGACGCGGGCGCGGCGGGCGAGGCGCGCGGCGGCGGCAGCAGCGCGGAGCCGACGGAGCGCCAGAGGGTGCGGGATCCGAATGCCTCGTCGTAGTTCCACACGTTTTGGGGCGGCTGGCACGCTGCGGAGCGAGTCCACGACTGGCCGATCGAGACGACGACCGTGCGCGTCTGAGTGTTGCGGGAGCGCAGAGAGGTGGGAGGGCGGAGGCGCGCGGGCGGTGTTGGGACCGTTTGCGTGCGATCTCGGGTCCGAGATCGGCTGCATCTCGGGTGTGGTGTCACCTCTGGCAGCAGCAGGACGTACTTTGCGAGCCAGCCCATGCCGAGGGCGAGCGAGGGCGGCGCGTCGACCGGGGATCCGCCCGCGTCGCACCACGCGCCTGTTCACAGCAGTAGGTGTGAAGAGACGCTGTTCACACCACGAGAGACCCGCCCGCGTCGCACCACGCGCCGTGCACGCGGATGTCGCACCAGCCGAGGCCAGGCCGCTTGTACGAGTCTACGGGAAGGGAAAGAGAGGCGTCCGGCAGGGGGGCCGGAGCGATGGCCTGAGCCCGTCTGGCCGCGAGAGCCGCGAGACTACCACCCCCACCACCCCACCACCCGTGCCCCTCGCCCCTCGTCCCAGCCCTCCTCCCCAGCCCTCCGAGCCCCTCGCATCGCGTTGCACCTCGGCTGGTGTGCCATCGCATCGCATCTCGGCTGCATCTCCGGACATCTCGCCTGCGGGCCGGCTGGGGTGCTGGTTGAGCCACGTCAGGAAGCCGTACGCCGAGTTCGTCTCCGGGTACTGCGGCGTGAAGACCTCCCGCACGTACGCTGCAGACAGCAGCCGCACCGGAGCGCCTGCAAGCACAGCCCCGGAAGGCGTGAGGAGCGCGGTGGAGCGCTGCCCGACAGCAGGCGCGCCGCCCGCGCCGTCGCGGTCGGCCCACCAGCCGCCGTTGACGAAGAGCTGCCCGAGCCGCAGCATCGCCTGCAGGAAGGGTGCGGGAAGCGTCTGGGAAGGGTGCCGGAAGGAGCCTCTCCTGCAGCCGGACTCCGTCGCCGAGCACGGCAGCCGGTTGTCGCCGCCGGCGTGGACGTGGGCCGACTCGGTCTGGCCCGCAAACATGTTTGGCACGCCGAGCGGTATCGCCAGCCGCCGCGTCGCCCAGTGCACCGACGCCTCGCGCGTGACGTGCTCGAGCAGCCAGATGAGCTCCTGCAGGTGCGAGCCGGAGTCGTACGCAAAGGCGGTGCCCGGCGGCTTCTGGCCGAGGCCAGAGACCATGGAGAGGAGGTGGCGCGTCGTCACGAGCGGCCAGTACGGTCCCCAGTCCGCCGTCGGCTCGAGGCCGTACTCGGCGAGCGGCGCGTCGAGGTCGAGCATCCCGTCGGCGTGCGCTATCCCGATGAGCGCGGCAGTCCCGAGCTTCATCGCCGAGTCCATCGAGTAGAGGGTCTCCGACGAGTTTGCCGAGTACGACTCGTGCACCACTGCGCCGTCCTTGGCCACCAGAAAGCAGTACCGGTGCGGGAGCTCCCTGCTGAGCCGCTCTGCCGCCTCGTCGAGCGCCGTGCTCGAGAGGCTGTGCAGCTCGGCAGGCTCGTGAGCCCACGGGCCTGGGCCGGGACCGAGACCGCCGTGCGTGTGGGCCTGCGCCGCAAGGTGCGCGGCGAGGAGCATCGTTCGCCTGCGCAGCGGCAACAAGGTGCTTTAACGTCCCCAGGGTTCCGGCTCCTAGCCAGATAGGGGGTCTGGCGGTTAGACCCCATGCAATAGGTAGGTAGGTCCGGTTTTGACCGCCCCAGAGGGCCCCGCAATAGGTAGGTAGGTGGCGGTGGTGTGGGGGGGGTGGGGGGGGGTGAAAGTAAAAAAACCGCTTGGCTTGCGCGGGAGACGGGAGGGTCCGTGCCCTCGACTCTGTCGAGGGAAGAGAGTGCCGTTTTGGAGCCGTCCAACGCCTCGAGAGCCCAGTAGGCCATGCTCTGACGGGCTCGCGAGCGGCGCGCACCGCGGTACAAGCCGGCGCGCGGCGGGCGCTGGGAGCCTATTCACAGAGGGCTAACGGGTATTTTTTCGCTTCGCTGCGCGGCCTGGGAATAGGTAGGTAGGTGGGGCACGGAGCCTGGCGATTGGCGCCCGCAATAGGTAGGTAGGTAGGGCGTTTTGGTGCGAGTCATAGGCAACAGACCCCCTATCTGGCTAGGAGCCGGAACCCAGGCAGGGGCTTTTGAAGAAACTGAGAGATGGTTGGAAAGCGAGAGCATCTCCGAACCTGTCGCTGTCCCTTGTCAGGAGCAGGAGAACTAGGAGAGCGCAACCAGTAGGAGGCCCGCGCCTGCCCCCGTGCCGCCGGGTGCAACTTTGTCCTATACGAGAGGGGAGATGCCGTGAGCTCCGCCGCGAGCTCGGACCCCTCGGCTGAGCCCTCCGAGCGGGAGCCCGACGGCGACTTGTCCTCGGCTGACTCGAAGCTGTCGTCCGAGGGGCACTCGCTCTCGGTCAACCCACCTCCACCTACGAGCTCGAACCCCACTGGGAGGTTCGAGTTGAGCGTCGGGTACTTTGAGCCGATCTTGGAGAGGTGGAGTCGCGAGCTAAGCAGACGGGGCCAGAGCTCGGCCAGGAAGTTGCCACCAGCTACAAGTGGGAACCCGTCTGCGGAGACATCGATGGTGATGTTGAGCAGCGCATCGTCCTGGGAGATGGCGTCGAGGGTGAACTTCTTGAGCTTGAGCACGTTCGGCATGAGCCCGTACTTCCGGACGGCATGGATGGCGGGCGAGTGCATGATCTCGTTGCGAGCGGCCTCGTCGGCGCAGCACAGCGCCGCCGTCAAGTTGTGCTGCACACTCATCGTGATGAGCATCATGGCCGTGGCCTCGGTCAGGGCGGTGTACTCCGCCTCGTTCTTGATGGTGATGGAGTTGCCGTCCGGCGTCTTGAGCTTGAATGGGAGCCCAGCTGCTGAAGGGTTGAGGTTGAGCAGCCGGATGGAGGGCACCAGGTACTGGTGGCAGTCAATCTCTTCATCACAGCCAATCTTTGGGCACTCGTGCCCGCCGCCGAGGAGGAAGTCCTTGCAGACTGCAATGCGGGCGAGGCCGATTGGCGAGTGGTCGGGCAGGATCTTGTCAGCGTGCGGCTGCTTCATGACTTGGGCGAGGTTGGTGCCGTCCAGGAGGTTGCCGCTAGTGAGCATGTAGCGGAAGTCGGGCGGCTGGCAGCCGCTCCAGTTGTCAGGCTGCTTGGTGGAAGTGGCCAGCTTGAGCATGGTGCCGAAAGAGGAGACCTCGGCCTGGCCGTCCTTGGGGATGAGCATGATCGAGAGCTCCTTGTACGCCTCGTTCAGCACCATGTCCGTGGGGTTGCCATGCCCACGGCCAACTTTGGACGCAGTGAAGAGTCGGCCCAGAAAGTTGATCCCGATGAAGCCCCTCGCACCGTATCCGCCTGAATGGTCGGAGAGAGACGACCAGTCGGTTGTGTCGACAGGCTCGCTGTGCAGCTTCCCGGCAATGAGACCCTTGGCCAGCTGCATCGCCTTTGACGCTGGTTCGAGGAGCTGCGCTGCCTTCTGGCACATCCAGCCCTGTCCAGTCTGGTCGCCCATCTCTGCTGCCGAAGCGGCCGTGCGGTCGGCAGAGTATGTTATCGAACTTGCGTCCCTTATGGGTTAAGTTTGGACGGGATCTGCGCAACCGTTGGTGCAACCGCTGAGTGCTCAACTTTGCCGTCTGCAACCTCTGAGCAACCGCTGAGAGCTCAACTTTGCCCTTTTCCGACGCGACCTCTGAAGGGTCGACTTGGGAAAATTTCCCCCCTTGTGGTCGAACTACTGAACGGTTGACTTTGGGGGTTTCTGCGTCCCCTGATCCAACAACTGAACGGTTGGCTTTGGGAAGGCTGGAAGCCAAGGTGGTGGGCTGGGAAAGGCTGCATGCAGCCTTTCCCCCGCCGCCGCTACCAATCTGCGGAACTGGGAGTTTACCTTGTGCAGGGCGTGAGCTGCCGCCGGACCCGAGGCGTGAACCACCGCCTTGGGCCCGTGAACCGGCGATATGCAGCGTGTTCTGCAGCCTCTGACGCAGGTCGCAAGAAGGGCGACTGCCACTCCCCGGGCCGGCCCCTGGCGAGCGGGCGCATGGCGCCCGACGCTCTGCCATGACCTCCGCGCTCCGGGAGGTTGAGTGGCGACCTCGGTGAGGTTTACTTAGTTCGTTCTTCTACGGAGTGACAGCACCTCCGGGCGGTATTAGAACTTTGATGTTACTCAAGCCACACAGAACACCCGCTTACTAGCCTACTTTTCAGCGTTTCCGGGCTCGCAAAACCCGGCGGGTGCAGCGGCGCAAGACCTCTCGGAGGTCGCAGGCCGACCTCGGGGAGGTCGGGGAAAGCCCCCGTTCGGCTATCTACTCGCTCCCCGCACTATTCACAGACACTACGGCTGTCGCGGGAGACTCACAGTGGCTACTGAGACTGTTCACACGTGACGTTCACACCTGGGGGACCAGGGTGTATCCGCAACTTGCGCAGAATCCCTGGGACCCTGTCTCTCTAGAGTTGTTTGTTGTGTCCTGAGGGAGGGTGTAGAGGATGTAGAGTGTAGAGCGCTGTAGAGCTGTAGAGCTGGAGAGCGCTGTAGAGCTCTTGTAGAGCTGTAGAGCACATCCGGCGCGTGACGATGTGAGTCCGATGTAGAGCGATGTAGAGGCGCTCTACAACGTGAAATCTCTACAACAAACTCTACATCATAGGCGGCAAACGAGGCACGGTCGCTCTCCGACATGAGGCGCGTTGCACTTGCCAGTGCTGCCCTGGCCTTCTGTCTGCCCGCCCAATGGGTAGGAGGTGCCTCTGCTGCTATGGCATGCCTCACGGCTGCGACTGGCCGGCGCCTCGGCGCGTCAGCTCGGCTCGGCGTAGCGATCGTGGCCAGCGCAACTCGCTTGGACTCAACGCTCAGCCAGGAGCTCCCGCACGCGCTGGCGCGAGTCATGGCGCATGCAACGCTCAACAATGCTCGCCTCGCCTCGGCAGATGCGACCGTCCTCGCAGCCGACAGTCCACCGCCTGCTAAAGAAGCACAGCGACGAATGCGGCACCGGCGACGCATGGCAGGCTGGTCATGACGCAGTTATAGGGTGTTGTGTGCCGTCAGAGTGACTCTCTGTGTGTCAGGGATAGTCAGGGCCGTCCATCAGAGCTCCAGTAAGCTCGGAGACACCCCATTAGCGCGGCTCGACCTCTTTGAGTCACTGCCTTCCCGGCGGTTTGGCTGTAGAGCCTCTACAACAAACTCTACAGCAAAATCGCGCTCTACATCGCTCTACATCGGACTCACATCGTCCCGCGCCGGATGTAGAGCTCTACAGCTCTACAGCGCTCCAGAGCGCTCTACATCTCTTCAGCTCTACAGCGCTCTACACTCTACATCCTCTACACCCTCCCTCAGGTTGTGTCGTGTGTGGGTGAACCCTGCCCAGCCCCCCTCCGTGTCGCGATGCGCTCCCCGTACCCGTTCCCCTGTGTCCCTGGTCGTCCTTACAAGATCCTGCTCGCGCAGGTGGGGACCCTGTGCTTCTCCCACCCCTTGTTTGGTGTCTCCGTTTTATTTATTTATAGAGCATCTCCACAGGAGATGGGCGGCGGCTAAAAAACTCTTTTTAAAAACGAAGAAAAAAGGCGAAATTCTTTGTGTGCCGGTGTGTGTACCAGTCGTCGTCGTGTCCGCCAGTCCGCGCCTTTTTGTGGCAGTGTGAAAAAATTTCTGCGCGAAGGCGTGCAGGCGGTTCTCCTGTGGCTGCAGAGATTGCTAGTAGGAGCTGTCAGACAATGCTCTACGCCGACAAGCAAGCCCTCGAAACGGACCTCAAAGTGTCGCTGCTCGCCATCCGCGAGCGCGAGCTCAATCTATACACATCGTGCTTTCGCAACATCGGCACGATGAGCGGAGTCTTTGCCGGCTTTGCGTACGAGGCGAGGCCCTCACCTCTCCCGATTCTTTGCGCCCGTCCTCGGCCGTTTGCGATTGTGTGTGCGATTGTGTGGATGGCCTGGTGCCATGCGACGCGCGTCGAGCGCTTTTGGCTCACGCCCCGTCGGTCCCGTCTTTGCAGGGATGCTGCCTCGCCTCGTACTTCTTCCCGCCCGACTCGTCCACGACGATGCGCTCGACCTACCTCTTCGTCACAACCATCGCGATGGACCTCAACGGTCTCCCGCCGCCCTCACCACCCTCGGCCCTCCACGCCGCCCTCCCCGATTGACCCGCCGCCGCTAAAAGCCCTCTCCACCCCTCTCCACGCCCTCTCACGCCCTCTCACGCCCTCGGCGCCAGTCGCCGCCCTCTTTGCCGCAACGGTCTGCGCGGCGCTCGGCCCCGGCCTGGCACTGCGCGGGCCCGACGGCTCGATGGAGCGCGCCGTCGAGGGTGGTTACGCCGCCGAGATGCAGCCGAGATGAAGCCGAGACGCAGCCGAGATGCAGCCGAGATGCAGCCGAGATGCAGATGCAGCCGAGAAGCAGCCGAGATGCAGATGCAGCCGAGAAGCCGCCGAGATGCAGAGACCTGACCGAGATGCAGCCGCCTGCCCGCACGTGGTACCTTAGGCCTCGCTGCCTCGAGGATTAACCCGCACCCTCAACCCTCACCCCTCACCTCACCCTGACCCTGACCCTGACCCCTATCTCGACCCTACCCTCAACCCTCACCGTGATCTCACCCCGACCCACACCCTCGACTCGCCAGGCCTCGCGCTCGAGTACCGCATCACCTTCGTCACCTTCTGCCTGGGCGTCTTCTCCTTCTACGTCTCGGCCTCGCTCTATGTCATCATCATGATGAACTGGCTCATGATGGCACACACGCAACACCGCCCTCCCTCTCTCTCACAAGCACCCGCCCTTCCATCTCTCTCTCTCACACTGCTCTCTCTTTCACACACACGCAACCGCCCTCCCTCCCTCCCTCTCCCTCCCTCTCCCTCGCTCTGGATCCCTCTCCCCCAACCCCAACACCTCGCCAGGAACCACTCGTCCGTATAGGCAACCGCCACCGTCCATGTAGTAAAGTCAGCATTAGCACCAGGGCTAAGTGCCCCCCACGCCCCACGATCACTCACTGGCTCCCAGTTCCATCGCCATCAGTAGTATTCCACAGACGACAGAGCAGCTGAGGGAGGGTGCAGAGGATGTAGAATGTAGAGCAGTTAGTCACATCTCACTTACGACTTAGCATAGCAACTGAAATTAGCATAGATTCACAGTCTCCATTCCAACTTTTGATCCAAGGGCTCACCCGCCGCTCAAGTCTTTATAATTTAACTTGCATTTTAGATCTAATCGTTAAATGCCAAGCATCTTGGGATGCGCAGCATCTTCAGATGATTCGAGCATCCAGGAAAAATATAGATATTCTTATCTTTTTGCCCCCCTCCGAGACTGGAGACAGAACCCACCCGTACACCGGAGAGATGGGACTGCGACCCGCCCCCCCTTGCCCTGCCTGCGCAGGA